GGGGGGGGGGGGGGGGGGAAGAGGGCACGGAATGTGACCAAGTCCCCAGATATGCACAGGGGTACGTCAGGGGTGAATCCACGACTAATGAAAGAGCCTCTTGAACAATGTACAAGTCTGAGTTAAGATCGAACAACGAATCTGGACCGTTCGATTTCTCTCCCTCCAAAGACCTAAATTTAGCCAAGTATGCTGTGCCCTTAAACTCCTCAGTACCTCCGGTGGTCCCATCACCATCGAATTCCAATTGACTAGGCAGCCACCATCCTGCAACTACGCTCTTATAACCTACAGTATTTTTTTATTTTTTTTAAAAATTTGGACCCTTTCTCGATTTATGCGTGTCATCCTTTTTGCGCCTCCAGCATGAATCTTCAGAAATTTTAACAAATAGATTCAGACACACTCAATATCTAAAAGTCCTTGTTCTCAAATACGAGCGTCGAGCTTGTATAATGCCTAAATTTGTTCGGCTATATACTCACACTACCATCCTCACCCAAAAATAATGCCCAGGCATTATATTCAACTTAACCTTTAAAAAACAGATTTTTGTTTTTACTCACATTTTTCTCAAAAATATCATTCCCCCATCGAATATAGCGCACGCCAGGGCATTATATTCAAATAGAACACCCGGGCCTTGTATTTGAATACGGCATGAGAAGAATGCCTTGTCGAGGGAGTACTAGCTTAGTGCCTGCGGTGCGGGTGGTGCGGGCTACGCATGCAGAAATAACAAATGCAGTGGGTGCCCTCACACTGCATTTCGGATGGCTCGCCTCCAAGATGTTCGTCTGCAGAAACAACGACGGCCTACCGGGGAGCGCAAAAAGACAGCCATGCGAGAAATGAAAAAAGAAGGAAAAGAAACCAAAAAAAAAAGGGGGACACAAAACAACAGGCACAAAAAATGGAAAAAGAAGAAGGGGGCACAAAACGACGGCCAGCCGGGGAAAAAAAAAAAAAAAAAAAAAAGTTCCCCACATATCGGATGATTCGCCTCCAAGATGTCCATCCGCATCAACGCCAGCCGTGTGCACCGCCCCCTGGGCGCATTCTCTCGTTTAGTGGCGCAATGTGAACATTTCGGTACACGCACCCCTCTGCACACTCCCCGCCCTCGATCTCCTTTACCCGAATCCGGTGCGCAGCACGTCATGGACCTACCCCCCACGGCCAATGCTGCTTAAGGGATAGGATACATGGGTTTTAAAGGAGGAAAAGGGAGTGTACATGGTTTTATGGTATACATGGGTTCTAAAGGGGGTTGAAACTTGAAAGGGGTTTTGACTCTTTCGAGTCGTACCTTTCGACTTTCAAGGCATATGGGTCATGCTAATCTTCTCTGTATCGTTCCAATTTTAACGGATGTTCCGAAGGAGTTTTCTTTTCTTTTTTATTTCCAAATTTATTTTCCAAATTTATAAGGAATTCTGAAATGACCCTCAGCCAAAACTTGGTTGCATTGCATAGTCCTTCGGGACATCTGTTAAAACTGGAACGATACAGAGACGTTTAGCATGGCCCCTGCGCAAGGATGACACGCATAAATCGAAAAAAAAAAAAAAAAAAAAAAAAAAAACGAATTCCTTTTTTTGGGGGGGAGGGTTCCCCACCGGATTTGCTACCAATTTAGAGAATATAACGCCCACCCGGCGTTATTTTTGTATACAACGCCCAGGCATCATTTTCAGGTGAAGATGGTAGGTTTTTTTTTTTTTAAGGGCGACGGTCTTGAGATACTATCGCTGAACAGACCCCCCCCCAGGTAATTCGGACTGATTTTATTCTGGTCATCCAGTGGCAACTGGATTCGAATTCGGGTCTGTATTTCAAGAGTTCATGGGTGTACCAACGGAGGTACTGTCTTCACTCCAATCGAACCGCCCGGGCTTTATAGCTTTACCTGGACTGAGAATTGCACCAAATACGACTATAATGACCGGGCGCTCTGACGCAATCCCGGTGTGTGGGCATATTCCCACTCCAATAGTGTGCAAGTATGCCCTGAATATATCATCAGGGTGTATTATCAGCCTGCCCAGTGGAAACATCGCTAGAAATTGAAAAAAACTCAACAGACAAGCATTTTCCTTTTCCTCGCACCAGAAAGAAAAGCAACCCTGCCATTCCTCACACTAGAAAGAACAACAACCGTGCCAAATCCAAGCACACATCATCACACCAGTGTTCTGCACGATATGAGAAACACATATGCTAGGATTTAAGAAGTGCATACATATTATATACCAAATCATGATGGGGTCATCCTGCGCAGTGAAAACCTCGCTACAAATTGAAAAGTCAACAGCAAGCATTCCTAGCACCAGAAAGAAAAACAACCCTGCCAAATCCAGGCACACATCATTGCACCAGGGTTTTGGGTTTTGCGCACTCAGAAACATATGCACCTCCCCCCCCCCGAATAAACCAACTCTTGAGAGCATCCGGCAGACTACCTTTTTCCCCCAAATACAACATACGGTCATTATAGCTGTATGTATGGGGTATCTTTCAGTCTAAATACCGCAATAATGACCGTACATTTTATTTGGGGGACAACAAAGCATGTTTATACTGAAAGAAGATTGGGAACCACTGACACGAGAAATTTTGCAACCAACCACAAAAAGCCTGTGTTAGTCCCCACACAGCCCAGCTGAGGGAAAGTTGCCCGGGTACCCTCCCGGGCGGCCCAGATCAGGCAGGTGGTTGAGCGAAGCTGCAACCAATACGACAAGTCAGAATGAATGAACCAATACAAAATCCAGGTAAGGGCAGGACCTCGCCTCGACATTCTGATAAGATGCCATTGAAAAATGCGAAGTCACGCAACAGTAGTATAACTTCTACGCTGGTTCCTCCGTGCAAGAAAGGTGGTTGAGCGAAGCTACAACCAACACGGCAAGTCAGAATGAACCAATACGAAATCCAGGTAACGGCAGGATCTCGCATCGACATTCTGATAAGACGCCATTGAAAGATGCGAAGTCAGGCAGGGCCCGGGCAGGGTCCCAGGCGATCCCAGCGCATAATATTTTGAAAGATAGAAAGAAAAAAAATCTGAAAAAACAATATGTTGTGTGAAATTGCAATACAAACGACTTTTTGCTGAGGGCCACCTCAAAATTCCTTGTTAATTTCAAGATAAAAATAAATGAGAAAACACGAGTCCAAATGTACCCTTTTAAGCCCTTTAGTCACTGTTTATACCCACCAACCCCCCCTGGATGACCCATCACCAAAACTGAAGTTGAGACCGGATTCTGACTGCTTGGCAGTCCTCACCTGAAGTCTTTTTCTTTTGGTTGGAGTT